CAAGGTTTTATCAAATAATCAATTCATTTAAAATTATATTTGCCACATCATCCTCACCATCTAATAAAAGCCTTAATAAGAAAACCTACAAAATTTGTATCTTTATTTTAAAAAAGTTTGTTTTCTTATTTTCAAAAAATTAAAATGCTACCTAATTTATAAATTAAAGATTAAAACTATACTTTGGTCTCTCTATTTTAATAAAAGGTTTATTTTTAGTCCATCTACTAAAAAGGCTTAATTTTGGTCCCTAAAACTTATTGTCCAACCCTTTTTTTGTCCCTTCCTTATTTTTTTACACACGTGACATGTTAGATGATGAAACTTTCAAAATAGAGATATTAAAAAGGACTTTTTTGAATGGTTTAAAATTTGGAAGTTCCGTCATCTAACATATTACGTGTGTAAAAAGATAATAGAAAGATTAAAAAAAGATAGATAATAAGCTTTAAGAATAAAAAAGGGTTTTTCTTAAGTAAAAGGATTAAAAAAAGTTTTTTGTTATAGTAAAGGAATCAAAATGGAGTTTTAACCTAAATTAAAAAAAGTTTGTATTTATAAATAAAAAATACAAAATTTGTATCCTTATTTAGAAAAAGGTTGCATCCTTATTTAAAAAGAATTAAAAGGTTGCCTGAAAAAGTTTATATCATTAAAATAAAAAATAAAATTTATATCTTATATGCCTATTTTTTCAAGTTTTCCTCTTATCAATTGTGTAAATTGTTTCTAGTTTGATGGCCCAAGAAACAATATGTAAATTGTTTCTTGTTTGATGGCTCAAAAAAAATTTGTTACTTTTTTGGATTTGGATTTGAGTGCTGTGTGTGAACCAATGTGGCCTCAAACTCAACTTTGGCCGTCCAAGATTAGGAGGTGCTTCGATGATTTTTTTTTCTAGAAAAAGGATAAGTCAATTTTTGTTGTAAATATGTAATTAATGGATAAATTTGTAAATTAAATTTAAGATAAATGCTAGTTGCGCTCAACCATTGATTGGCCGAAATCACCCCATTTTTTTAAAATAAAATAAAAGTTAGATTTTAGCCAAGCTGCTAGCACAAGTTAAATCAGTTTTTTCCCATGGCCTATTTTCAACGGAAAATCAGTTTTTTTTTTTCCTTTTCAACAATAACAGTGTGGTAACTTCAAAGGTTGAATTTATTGATAAGAAAATAATATTTTTTATAGGTTAAATTTAAATTTTAAATTTTAAAGTCACATATAAAAAATTAAGATATATACATATATAAAAGTGTATGTTGGTGTATAATTCCTAAAGATTTTATTTTGGTCAGTTTAGGATTAATTAGTAACGAGCCTTCAACTCTCAATTTTGCAAGAAAGGCAATGAAGCAGAAAAGTTACTGCAACAGATTGAGATACATATGCCTAACAAAGGTTTCCAAATCATTTGTAAACAATATCAATATATGCAAGAATTCAAGTCCAAAATTTTTACACCAAACCCCTTAGACGCACTAAGGAAAATGATTAAGATCAGTAGGTGGAAAATACACAATTTCTGCCTTAGACAATGCTTTGCTGAAACGCATAACCTCCCTTTTGGTAGCTTGTCATCGAACAGAAACCATTCACTGGAAATATAACTATTGTCTCAAGAAAATATGACTTAGCAAGTATGAATTGAATAAACTTCAACTCAAGATTTTCACAAAGGAAATCATGAATAGTTACTCTACTTAGTTGGCCAAGTACACTGTCTTCTTGTGATTGCCAAAATACTCTAACTTGTTCAAAGTCGAAGTACATGTTTATGCAAGCCTAAACGGTAAAACACAATATTAAGAGGTTGCTATAGTGAGACAAATATCCAAAAACAAAAGTGGAAAACATTATTTTGTCGTGGCACTTAACTCTCATATTGAGTCTCTGTAAGTTAGGGGTGCATTCAATTAAGTTCATGAAGAAGGTCATCTCCCCTATGCCTTAAAACATATTTCAACTACCTAGAGAAAGGTTAGGTGTTTCAATGTGGTTGGTCTTGCTTGCAATGTTCTTTTCAGGTCCAAGATCTGGAAAACAAAACAAAGATTATAAAAAAAGACATTGTTACTAAAGATATGCATTAAATATGAAACGGAAGAGTTAGATTACCTTGCAAAATTTGGAGTCCAACATTAGACCATCAAGTGCAAGTGAAAACTCAGTTATGTTGAGTTCTAGCACGAGATCATGTCATCCATCAGAAGAGAAGGAGGGCAGCTTAAAAATCCATTGCATTATGATGGTAGGATGCATGCTATTCGCCTTGAAGATGATGCATACCCACTGATGTCCTATACCTGCATGCTCTGATGTGCTTCGTATGGGGCAGCAATTTGCAGCGCACACTAAGAAGCACTACAAGTTTGAAACAGCAGAAGAGAAGAGCAGGTGATATGCTGCTCACCGGTCCAGGGGACGAATCGTAACCGGAAGATTCCAATGGACTCACTGCAATGCCGGAGGAGTCTCGAGCGAGGCAAACTCCACAGCGAGGGTATCGAAGCCTGGGTAGGAGGTGCATATATGATTAGCTCGGTTGTCTAGTTGGTAAAGATATATTAGGGTTCTATTGTTTATTTATGTCTAGTTGTTTCTTTTTGTAAGAATTTATGTCTTCGATGAATTATCAATACAAGTTATGTTTGGATATTGAAGCTTATAGTTTGAGGCTTCATTAAAACCATACTTACAAAAAGAAGTCACGTGACCTTAAACACAATATAAAGTGGATGCTGTAACGAGGGGTTTATCCAATCAAGTTAATGAAGAAGGACATATCATCTACATCCTTAAAACTTATCTCACCTATGTAGAGAAAGGTTAGGTGCTTCAAAGTAGTTAGAATTGTTTGCAATGTATTTTGCAGCCCCAAGAACAAGTATGAGAGAAACAAATTGGACACAAAAAAATATATATTATAAAAAACATTTTTACCATATAGATGCATCAAATAAGAAACAAGGAGAGTTATTTCCAAAATTTAGAGTGTAATACTAAAACATGGAGCGTAGGAAGAAAATCCTTTACTATGAGTCCCTACTAGATACCATTAATTGACTTGATCTCATTCAATTGAATCTAATAATAAAATCATTGACAACTACTTCAAGAATTCGTTCGAAGAAAAATGTCCTAACAATATAATGCTAGATGTACGTGAAAAGTGCGTTACTAAAGAATGAACATAGCTCTGTGAAGGGAAAGTAAAATACACTTACATACATGCCTTAACGTTATAACGCTAGATGTGTGCAATAGAAGGATGAATGTAGAATATTAAAACAAGGTAATTAAAATATACATACGTGTTTGGTAGATCACTGGTCTGACAGAAAAACCTTATTAGGTTTGCTATCAATCTCGTCTTCTTCTTCATCTGCACCTCTATCTAGTTCATTAGTCGAGACCAACATTTTCAGGGGGCAGAGCACAATCTGCCTTTGTTGCTGTGATAGATGTAACTTGTTCGCTATTTGTAAGATTTATACAGTTGGAATTTAGGAATAGAATGATGGTTTTGTAAACAAGAAAATAATAGACGTTACTAAGGATTGCTGATAAAAGAAAGAAAAAAAAGGACATTCTTAAGGATGTACTAGCCCTTTGTCCTCACTGATTAAGTCACAACTCATAGAACTATCCTAAAGTTCTAGTTCGTAGGGAAGGTATTTTAAAATCACATCATAATGAAACACCATACACAACAAGTAGAGAAAGTTTCACCGGATTTTCAAATTATAGTCGAAGGGCTAAACGAAAGTACCAAAAAGAATAGCAAATTGCAAAAAGAATATATGACCAAAAACTATTAGGGGGCAACCAATAGAAATAACATATAGAATGAAACAAACAAAATCATCAGCAAGGAAGAAACCTGGATGTAGATAATGGCTCTAGATGAACCAACTCATTCACAATGTTGATACAAAATTACAATCCTGATAAACTTGTCAATTTATATTGAAAGCAACGATGAAACCGAGGTTTATCTAAATGGCAATGGATACATAAAAGGCAACAAATTCTAAGGGAATCTGGCAATGCGCTGGCTTTCTATTCTTTGTGGAGGATATCAAATTTGTATTTTCCTTTGTAAGAATGCTAATAATAGTTATGGTCTAAAAATATATTATTTCCACCCAATCACCAAAGATACACACTAAATGTGAAATAGATTTTTTAGAAATGGACACCTACCACGTGGTAAATGTGAAATAGGAGTGGACACTCACCCAATCACCAAAGATAGACACATGGTAAATGTGAAATACCTTTTTTTGAGAAAACGTTTAGCAAAACCATTTAAGATAGACACTACGGGCTTTGACAGCAACCTCATCAAGAGCAGGTTGAGGAACGGATGGTACAAATGATCATGCTTTTGGATTTGTTCATCTTCAAAGCCTTTTCTATTCTGTGAACCTCTATTAGATCTTTCATTATCATTCATGCTTTTCCTGTGCTTATCCCTCAAAACTTGCTCGTCCAAGCAGATGCTTACTAGAACGGTTGCTTTGCCCTTTATCTATCTTAATGTCTTTCGCAGACCTCCTTTTGTATTCCTGCTTTTCCACAACTCCACTAGAATAACTATCTCTTCTCTCCAAGTTATATGCTTCATTGGAATATATGTCCCAAATTCCTTCATTGTCTTCCAAACCAACCTCAACTATCTCATTTTACGGAAAATCTTCACCATCATCATTAACCTTTCTACCCTTCTGCACGTGTTTAAATTCTTTTCCTTTAAAATTTTCCCAATCTTCTTTCTTTGAATCTACCACAGTTTTACCTTTTCTAACAAGATTGTCTCTAGCCCTCCTGCTTTTATTATCATAACTTATGGGCAATCCACCCCTTGACCTGTACCTAGATACATCTGATCTTGTTCTCTCAGTCCTAATTCTTCTAATTGATGGAGAGTCCATATTGCGTTGGTCTCTAGGAAGGATAAAGAGGCATACTTTTAGTGTTTGAACTTAAGGAAGATCTTGAATGTCACACTGATCTTCTTTCTCTAAACCCATCATTTGCAAGAAGCTCCTCCAATGATGGTGCCATTTGTTTATGATATTAAACTTCTCCCCACACAGAATCCTGTTACAAGGAAAAAAAAATGTTAAACAACATTGTGTGGGAAAAAAATTTTACAATCAGGTTTACTTTCAATTCAGAAAATTTCTAAACATGATTCACCAATAAATAAAATCACCTTCCCTAGCCCATAAATATCATTTTGACACCCACGAGTACTTTTGTTATCTAATAAAAACCGCATGTAAGTTTCAATTGAACTCCCACAATTCCAGGAGGGAATACTGCATTATATGTTCTATGTTACTAAACATAAAAACAGCCTTTGTGAAATTCTGTCTTGAGTCCCAGGATGGATCATTTAGGTGGCAATATATAAATACACTCAAAAGTCAAAAGCATACCATTGAAAGTTGAAACAGCAACATAAGTAAATAAGAAAACCATAAAACGAAAGTAAAAAACATCGCATCCTTACTCTATGAATCTGAGTACCCAATTTGTCGGGAACTTGGCAAGGAACCCAATACTTCAGTCTCGCTACCAGACAGTACTGTCTCAGGACAAGGTTTGGAGGGTTGAACGTAGATTCTAAGAATAATGGAGAATCATACGGAGGGAATAAATGAGATGCGGAGTGAAAAAAATCCATGAAGGAATTGATGTCTATATATAAGACGGCAAACGGGGGAAGAAACAAACAGAAAGACAGAAGAAAACAGCGGACATGGATGGACGTGACAACAGATAACAAGGCAAAGAGATGAAATTGCAGAATGACGTGACAGAAGAAGAGACGAATGGAGTTCCTATACCTGGTGCACATGTAATTGATATTCAGCCGTAAGGAGAAAGTTTTTCGTGACTCTTTCAAAGGAGCTGCAGGCTCTGCAACCTTTATGGCGTCAACAGTTTTTAATTGCCTCCCACTTACCTTTGCATATGTCATTGTACAATGCCTGTGATGTGGTCCTCGGGTAGGAAGGGTGTGGGGACTTTGTTGATTAGAGTGCTGGAGTGGCCTAGTGGGTCTGATATCCAAATTAGAAAGACTTGGATCTTGGGAGAAGGGAAACATGTTATACTATGAATTGGGCTGTGTTTGTTACAGTGTTCAGGTCCTTGGGTTTTCCTCAAAACTTCTACAAAGAAAGTCTAAGCGGACTTCGTAGTTTGGGATGGAATAGATAATACGCTTATCAACCATTTATTTTATAAGTGTCCTGATTTTATGGGACAGCTCTTAATATTAAATATTAAAATGTTTATTATTATTTAATCATTTAAATAATACAATATATTTTTTATTATTTTATTGGAATATATAATTGAAAATAATATTTATCCACCTCACATTTTAAAGATCAAGAGAAAAATTATCTTAAAACTATATCGTTTCAATAAATCTTCATTAAAAAAAATTAAAATACTTTATTTTTAAAACATGAATTATAGTGTTTTTTGTCATTTTTTGTAATATTTTATTAGAACTATGTAATTTTGAAATAATTTTTTTTTTAATTTTTACAATGTAAGACAGATAATCATTAATACCATATGATTTTTCTACTTGACTTATGTTTCTCTTTGGAGATTTTTGGGCAGCCAATTGACAATGAATCTAAACCATGATCCGCAGTGTTGCGTTGATTAGTTACATCTTACTTGCGTTAGTTCAAGATGTTAGGTAGGCTAGTTGCATACCGCAATGAAACAAAAACAAATGAAGCTTTGAAGAATACGGGTGCATATGTTAGTTTCAAATTAGCATTAAATTTTGTAAAATGATGGATGAACAACATCAAAATCCTAATTTTATATTATTAATTTATCTCCATTTCATCTGCTACCCCATTAAAAAAAGCTTCACACACATATTACTTAATTAGTTGTTTAGTCTTTATCTTGTTTGTCCGTTCATGGTTGCTCCACCATTGACTAATGCATGTTTTTTTTTTAAACATATATTGCAAGGACAGGTTTTGAACCCTACCGGGGAGGGGAATGCACCGTGGCTATGCCACTAGGCCTCAAGGGTCAGTGCTTGACTAATGCATGTTTTTTCATGCAAATGGAAGAATAATGCATATTTTCACAACAAATTCACTAACTAACATACTTGTTTGGGTCGTTAGACCAGTTCATGGTCATGCATGGTGCATGCCTCAAGTTAATGAACTCTTAACATCTCAATTTGTTTTTTTATTTTATTTTATTTTATAGGGTGTGTTTGGTTTAATGACAAATTTTATTGAGAAAGTTTTTATTGAAAAAGTAATTAAAAAATATTGTATAAAAAATTACAAAGTTTTGTCATGAAATTTTATTAGGACATTAATTTTATTGTATTTAATAAGAAATTGACAAAAGAAAAGTATAAAGAATGTTAGTAGAAAAGTTGTGAGAAATTTTTTTCTTTATAAAAAGGCAAAAAAAAAAAAAGTTTAAAATTGTTTTAAAAAAATTCACTTTTATCTTTCATTTATTATAGTTTTGACGTGTTTAAATACTAAAATATTTTTTTAAAACTCTCAAAAGAGAATATTTATCAAAAAGGTTAACCAAACACACCTATAATGTGACACTGGATTAAGGGGTTAATGTGTTGATTCAATTAATAAATAAAAAACAACTAGTGGTAATGAAAATATTATGTATACTTGGTTAACAAAATTTATTGATAATGTTGTCCTAGATTAATAGGTACTTATTTTATTTAAAAATAATAATAATTTTTTATATTTTTAATTAAAAGTTTAGGGACAATAATTGTATTTATTTATAATAAATCAAAATATATAAATAATGTAATGAAAATATTATGTATACTTGGTTAACAAAATTTATTGATAATGTTGTCCTAGATTAATAGGTACTTATTTTATTTAAAAATAATAGTTATTTTTTATTTTTTTAATTAAAAGTTTAGGGACAATAATTGTATTTATTTATAATAACTTTTAAAAAAATAAAAAATAAAAATTTTTGCAATTAAATAAATAATTAAAGTGAATACAAAATGATAATATTAAAATAAAAATATTAATATACTTTAAAAAATAAAAAAAATAATTTAAAATAAATTTAAAAATAAAAATAACAATTATTTTATAATAAAAAATAATTATAATACCAATCTATTTGTTACATGAAATTGTGAAAGTTTATTGTGACTTAAGGTTGAATATAAATCAAAATCAGTTAAATTTAACTTTTCATCTACTTAGTATTATTCTATTTTCATATTATTTTAGATGGTTTAGTTTCTTTTAAATTTATCTATAAACTATGAAAATCATTTCAAATTCATATATCTAACAAATTTTAGTTAGTGTTTTTAACAGAAATCTATGGCATGATTATGTAGCACAGTTATGTGGCATATGCAATTTTGAAAAATTGTACTTTTTTTTTTCCCATTTGTAATCTTAATAATGTTTTCATTTTTCCCAATGAGATTTTATTTTTATTTTTTATTTTTAATTTTGTAGTAAATCTATATCTTTTAATTTTAATTAACAACTAAAAAATCATCATTGTCATTGTCATTTTTAAAATTTAAATTGAAATTTTAGTTTCTAAATATAGTTTTTAAATATAGGTTAAAATTTTATTTTTGTTTAGGAAAATGATATAATTTTATCCTAATAATGATAATGATGATTTTTTGAGTTGTTAATCAAAATTAAAACAAATAGAGTTATTACAAATTTAAAAATAAAAAAAGAAATCTTACCAAAAAAGTGAAAATATTATTAACATGAACAAATAAAGAAAAAAAAACAAAACAAAACAAAAAAAGAACACAAATTTTCAAAATTGCATATCCTGTGCAATTGTGCCACTTAATCATGGCAGAGGATTTCGTTAAAAAAACTAAGGAAAATTGACTAGATAGATGAATTTAAAATAATTTTTATAATTTATAAATAAATTTAAAAAAATTAAATTATTTAAACTAAAATAAAATTAAAATAATAATCAATGAAAAGTTAAATTTAGCCATCAAAATCTATTGATTTGTACCTCTTCAATCTTTTTGATCCGTTAACAAAATCCAGTTTCTAACTCAAAAGTTTGGTCCTGCGTACAAAATATTCCTCTGCATATATTGGACATGTTGTGATAACTCAGCAAAATTTTTAGTTCCCAATCAACATTTGCCACGTCACGACGGATATTCTGAAAGGCGCGTCACATGGAATCCGGGGTCCCACTGAGAAAAAGTGATGCGGGAATATTGGACACAACAATACCGACATTTTTCTCTTGTCCCAAGGTATTAAACCAATTAAATACCATAACTACCCCTACCCCCTATCTGTCCCGCCCATCCTCAGTTTACCACCGACAAGACAAAATCAATTGGGCTAGTTTTTAACCATGTGAGGGGAACGGCAACCTTGGGAGCAATTATTGTCGGGGTTTTTTTTTTTTCTTAATTTTATCTTAAATTAATTGTTTTTATAAAAAAATTTTAAGGTAAAATTTTTTTCTTTACTTTTATTTATTTCATGGTATGTTAGCTTGAGGAAAAGAGAGAATAGAAGAAAAGAGGGTTTTTTTAATCAATCAATTTATAATATTTTTAAGAGTTTTTTTAATTTGTACTTTAAAATTATAAATTAGGAGTTTTGAAAAAAGTAATATTTAATTTATTAATTGTTTAATTAAATTTATCTATATGACATTGACATTAAATTAATGTTTACTTTACATTTTTCTATTCAAATTTACTACAAAAGATACCCTTAAATTCTATTTTCAAATAGTGTAATCTAATTGATAAAAAAAAATTCTTCTTCCCTCTTTATTTCCTTTAAGTAAAATATAATATTAATTAGTTATTATATTATAAAATTATCTTTATCGTTTATTTATATTTTAAAGGTGTTATCTTAAAAAATTACTTTGACACATAACAAATAAAATAATTTATTTATTATAAAATTGGATGTAAATAAAGGGTAATATAGATAAATGAATAGTATCTATTTATTTTATTAAAATAATGTAATTTTAAAATATTTTTTAAAATTTTTGAAAAATAAGATGAATATGTACTAATCATTATAAATATGAGAATAGTACTCATTACTTCTAAAAAATTAATAGGAAGATTATTTTAAAATTACCTTATTTTAATAAATTTCTATTAAAAAATTAAAATATTTTTAAACCATTAATTAGACTATTTTTAATACTTTTTTTTATATATTTTATTTAAATGAACATAATTTTATTTAAACAACATAATTTTATTAAAACACGTAATAAATTGTTATTAAGAAGTAAAAGTTATTTTAAGAAGGAATAATTTATTATATTCATTCAATTTTAATTTAATTTTTTAAATATTAACTTTATATGAAAATTTTAAGATAATATATAAATAAAAATTTATATATTTTTAACTAAATAAAACTGTTCAATAAAAACACGTAATAAATTGTTATTAAGAAGTAAAA